GCCGAGCACCCCATCGCGCGCTTCTTCGACGCGACGTCGTCGCTCGGCGAGCCCACGGAGCTGAGCTTCCCGTCGCTCTGCGTGTCCTACGCGCGGAAGCGCCAGATGCAGCAGATGCTCGACACCGCGAAATCGGACGAGCACAACGCGCGGTCCAAGGAGCGCGAGCTCAAGGAGCAGATCCGCATCAAGGAGGAGCGCGAGCGCCTCGTGCTGAAGAAGGCGTCGGAGCGGGCCCACCGCCTCGCCAAGGCGGCGAACATCCTCGGTCTCGTGGAGGCGCCGTCGACGCCCCGCGCGGACCCGGGCCAGGGGCTGTAACGCGGCGCGGACCTCGGCCGTCCCGGGGCTCGAAAGGGGGGGCTGTTACGACGCGCGGCGGCGGCGCCTAGTCCGACGTCTTCTGGGGGAGCTTCTCGCCCTCCCAGTTCTTCCACTCCATGCCGTTGGGCGCCTGGCGGTTCTCGCCGTCCTCGTAGTCCGTCTTGCCGACCTCGCCCCAGTTCGTCGAGAGCACGGTGCCGCCGGACGTCTGGAAGCTCTTGTTCATCGCGCGCCGCGTCTCGGGCGTCGCCTTGCCGTAGATGTCCTGGAAGAGCTTGTTCAGCGCCTCCTCGCCCTCGGGCTTGTCCTTCTCGAGCTCCGCCTCCATCTCCTTCTCGAGCTGGTGCCAGTCGCGCTTGCCCGCGTAGGGCGTCGCCGTCGACGTCGTGCTCGCCGGCGCGGGCTTGAACGTCGGCGGCTTCTTCTTCGGCTCGCCGATGAGGTCGCCCTTGAGGAGCTCGTTCCAGTTGAAGGCGTCCTTCTTCTTCAGCTTGACGTCGATCTTCGTGCTGAAGTACTTGACCTTGCACTCGGCGGGCACGACGGGGTCGTAGAGCTCGCCGCTGATGACCTGGGCAGCAGAAGAGTGATTCAACGTCGCTTCAACGTGAGTGTTCCGCGCGCGCGCGTTCCGGAAAAAGCATCCATGCTTGGAGACCGTTCCAAGAGATGATCGCTCGTCCAAAGATCAGCCGAAACGAGTGGAAAACGGCCGAGATATGAGGCTTTGAAGTTTGGAATTTCGCTCTCTTGTCCTGCCCCGCTGATGACGGTCATTTCGGACTTGCCGCCGTCGCGCTTCAGCTTGCAGATGAGGGTCGTTTCGGTGATGACGATCTCCGCGTCCTCCTCCTTGACGTTCTTCGCGAGGAGCGTGATCGTCAGGTGGGAGTTGGTCTGGTAGTACTGGTACTTCACGTCGCAGGGCACGACCTTGACGCCGCCCTCGTCCGCGGGCGCGGTCGCGATGGGCGCCGCGGGGACGACCGGCACGTCCTCCTCCTCCTCCTCCTCGCTGTCGCTGTCCTCGTCCTCGATCTCCGCCTCGCACTTGCGCGCCCACATCGCGTACTTGCGCGTCGCCGCGGCCGCGGCGTCCGCGCCCAAAAGCTTGAAGCCCTTCTGGAAGCTGTCCAGCGCCGTCTCGAACTCGTCGAGGTGGAAGCAGGCCAGGCCCTTGCGGTAGAGCGCCGGCTCGCAGGCGCCGTCCTCGGCGAGCGCCGCGTTCGCGTCCTGGAGCGCGTTCGTGTACTTCTCGAGGCGCAGGTAGATGGCCGCGCGCCCGGCGTAGGCGGCGGCGCACTTGTCGTCGCCGTCGATGGCGGACCCGTAGGCGACGAGCGCCGCGTCGTAGAGCTCGTCGCAGAGGAGCTGGTTCGCGGCCGCGAGGTCCATGGCGTTCGAACGACGACGAGGGCAGCCGCTGCGCGTCTCGACTCGCGATCGGCGCTTCGGCGCCGCGACGCCTCGCGCTGCACAGGCAATTCGGCCGCGCGACTCGCGTTGGCGCGCAGTGCTCGCCAAAGCGCTTCGCGCCGCAGCGGTTCGTGCACCGCTCGTCGCAGTGATCCATGGCCTCGTTCAGTTTCAATTTCGGCGGCGACGGCGCCGGCGCCGGCGCCGCGGCCCTGCGCGCGCGTCCCGCTGGTCGCCGACGACGCGAGCGACGACGGCGGCGCGCCGCTCGTCGTGACCGTCGCCGGCGAGCGCTTCGCGCTCGCGCCGTCGGCGTCTTCCGCCGTCGTCGAGGCGGGCGTCTACGAGGGCGGCGCGGAGCTCTGGGAGTGCGCCGGCGACCTCGCGGCGTACGTCGCGGCGCACGAGGACTGCCGCGGCGCCACGGTGCTCGAGCTCGGCTGCGGCCGCGGCGTGCCGGGCCTCTGGGCGCTCCGGGCCGGCGCCGCGGCCGTCGTCTTCAGCGATTACGACGCGGACGTGCTCGAGCGGCTCACGCGGCGCGACGTCGCGCGCGAGCTCGCGCGCGCGCGCGGCGAAGGGCGGGAAACGCCGCGCGTGGGCCTCTACGCCGGCGACTGGCGGTCCCTGCCCGCCGCGCTCGCCGCGGGCGGCGGCGACCGCGAGTTCTCGCTGATCCTCAGCGCGGAGACGGCGTACCGCGACGACACGGCGCGGGCGCTCGTCGGCGCCGTCGGCGCGTGCCTCGCGCCGGGCGGCGTCGCCCTCGTCGCGACGAAGCGCTACTACTTCGGCTGCGGCGGGGGCACCGTCGCGCTCGAGGCCGCGCTCGGGGCCGCGGGCCTCGCGGGCGCGGTCGTCTGGTCCGCGGAGGACGGCCGGAGCAACATCCGCGACCTGCTGCGCATCACGCGCCCGTCGTAAGTTTTGTGGTGTGGTAAACATGTCAACTTGTACCGCACCTTGAACCGAGGAAACTCCGGCTATATACGGGGCGTGATGGCCAGAAGGTTTGGCATTGCGCAGATGATGGGCAGCCCCCTTCGGTAGAGGGTCGCAGATGCTGATGGGCAGCCCGTTTCGGCTGCTCGCGGCCCTCGCCTGGACATGCGACGCTTCGACGCTGCTCGTGCCGGCCTACTGGTGGGCGGCGACCGACGCCACCGGCGCGTGCACCACGCAGACTTTTACGCGCTGGCCGCCGCCGGCGCCGCCGCCGTGGCCGTCGTGAACCCGGACAACGGGCCCATCGACGCCAGCGACGCCAACTTCGCCGCCTTCGCCGCCTGCGTCGCCGCGCTCGGCGACGCGCGCGCGGTCGGCTACGTGTACACGAAGATCGCCGAGGAGACGAGCCCGGGCGTCTGGGAGCAGCGCGCGTTCCGCGACGCGGGCGACGTCGAAGCGGACCTCGACGCCTGGGCCGCGTCGGGCCTCGTGGAGGGAGTATTTCTCGACGAGGTGTCGAACTCGTGGGCGGCGAGCTCGAGCGGCTGGGCGGACGACGCTACGACGGCCGCGGACCACGAGGCCTACTACGCGGAGATCTTCGCGGCGGCGCGGTCCAGGTTCTCCTTCGTCGTGGCGAACCCCGGGTCCCCGTATCCCCTGTCCTATCTCGACGACGATGACGCGCCGGACGTCGTCGTGCTCTCCGAGGCCGCCTACGCCAAGTGGGCGCCGTCGGCGGCCGGCGGCACGTGCGCCGACCAGCTCTGGACCGATGCCCAGGGCTCCTTCGACGAGGGGCCGTTCTGCGCGTACGTGCCCGACTGGGACGGCGTCGACGGCCTCAAGGACGTCGTCGACGCGCGGAGCTCGTCGACGGCGCAGGCGGCCCTGCTCTACGGCACGGACCCGGCCCTGGACGCCGCGGCCTTCGTGGCGGCGGCCTACGACGCGGGCGTCGACTACGTCTACGTGACGGACCGCCCCGTCGCGACGCCCTGGGACGAGCTGCCGACGTTCTGGGACGCGCTCGTCGCGGCGGTGGCCTCCGGCGACGACGGCGACGACGACGCCTGCGGCGACTCGTCGTCCTGGTCCTACGGCGCGAGCGGCAAGGGCTGCGCGAAGCTCCTCGAGGACCCGTCGCGCTGCAAGAAGAAGAGCTATGACAAGGTCATGGGCTACGAGGCGTGCCCCTACGCCTGCGGCCTCTGCGACGCCGCGAGCGACAGCGACAGCTGGTACGCCAACGGCAAGCCCAAGAACTCCTGCACGTGGATCTCCAAGAGCCCCGACGCGCGCTGCGGCAAGAAGGACGACGCGGGCGTGCGAGCTACGTATGCGTGTGCAGCGACGTGCGGAAGCGGGGAGCATACGGCCGACTCGTGTCTGGCGGACTTTTACGACGACATCGAGGCGTCGCTCTGCGGCTGAGCGCGGCGGCCTGGCACGTAAGACGCTTCGCAGGACCCCCCGCACCGCGCCGCGCCGCGTGTGTGTGAACATTACGAGGCCGGAGGCCCGGCGTGCCGGGCTCCCGCCGGCGCGGGGCCGCGGGGTCGCCTACGCCGTCTTGGCCGCGTCGACGGCCTTGGAGGACGCCTCCGTGACCTTCTGCTTGATCTGCTCCGTGATCTTGTACTCCTTGTTGAGCTCGATGCCCTTGTCGATGGCCTTGACGGAGAGGTCGCCGGCGAAGCCGACGGCCTGCTTGCCCTTGTCGAGGAGGTCGTACTCCTCGTTGAGCTCGCTGATCTTGGACGTGACGGACTCCACCGTCGTCGTGAGCTTCGTCACGGACTCGCCGGACTCGCCCGCCTTGAGCTTCTCGATCTGCTCCGTGACGGCCGCGCCGGCCTTGCCCGTGAGGTCGTACTTGCCGTTGAGCTTGAGGATGAAGTTGTAGACGTCGAGCGACACCTTGCCGACGCCGCGCACGACCTCGCCGACCTACGGGGCGGTTTTCCGTGAGCGCTCCGTCGCGGATGTCCCTCGAAAGCGGGCGCTTCGTCGCGGATTTCCCTCGACCGCCGCGCGCGCGCGCGCCGAATCCCCGCGCGCGCGCCGCGACGCCGGAAGGACGCGCCTCGTTCTCCTGCTTGGAGGCGTAGTTGCCGGCCGCCGCCGTCACGGCGCCGACGACCGGGCCGCCGATGAGGAAGCCGGCGCCCGCGGCCGTGACCGCCGACGACGTCGCGATGTTTTCGTCGTTCACGGGCACGAGCGCCGTGGACGACTCGGCGCGCAGGGACATCGACCGCGCGGCGGACGCCGCGGACGGCGCCTGGAACGCCGAGGCGGTGCTGAGGGCCGCGAGCGCAAGCAGGAGCTTGGCCATGGTAGAGTAGATGTGGCGCGAGTTGGCGCGAGGATCGACAAGGATCGACACCAGGCGGCCCGCAGCGAGCCGATTCGGCCCCGGCCGGGGTTTTTGTGCGCAGTCCCATCGGCCGCCACCCGTGGTTTTGGATAATTGATAGAATACTGGTGTCCGTTCACGATGCGAGGTCGCTTAAGTGGTCCCAAAATGCGGCGCCGCGCGGCCGTCGGTCAAGCGATCGGGTGCCGGGCGGGGCGCCACCGTGCCTCAACATAAAATCCGTATCTTGTGCAACATGCGCCTCTGGCAAAAATCGATCGAGTGGAGCAGGCCTCGCAAGCGGAGCTGCCACTGTTTAGCCATGGGCGCCGAGGCTGAGATGGTCCCGCTGGCCGAGAAGGAGGTGCGCACGCGTCCCGATCCTCCCTCTCCGCCCGTGCGTGGGAAGCCGCTTTCGGCGAGCCCGTTCAAAACCCGCCTCGCGCGGCGCTCGCGGTCGCGGGCCCGCGCGAGCGGGGCTCTCCGCGCCGCGGCGCGCCCGGCCCCCACAACCCCCTTTCGGGGCGCGCCCGGGCCTCACAACCCCCGCCCCGCCCCGCCCCNNCGAGCCCCCGCCCCGCGCGGCGGNNCCGCGCCCGCCCG